TGGTAAATGGAAATCACCATCAGGTGGACGCTGGTTATTTACTAGCGATGCTTTGTCTATAACCTGGTATTGTAAAAGCAAAACTGTCTTATTTCAAGGTCCTCGTGGCAGCGAAGTGGCTGACTCTTTGAAGAAAAATATCGATGCATCGCGAATTGCAATAGTGAAAGATGCCGAGCTAAACATTGCTACCCCTGCTGTTTCCGAAAGACGGAATGAATCTATCGATAACCAGTGTAGTCTCAGTATTAACAATTTCTAACTCGAACATGTTTGATAGATCTAGTAATACCACAACAACTATCAACCGAAACGACTCGGATGCTAGCGAAGGAAAAGCAAATGAGCAAGAAATGTGTTCACACAAGCAGAACGAAGGCGATTATATAATGAATTGCAAAGACTGTAGTAAATTATCTGTAGAAGTAGCAGAAATTAAATTGGACTTGGCATTATTATTCCTAAAAGTTAATACTGCTGAAGTTCCCGCTACATGTGAATGCAATCGGCTACGAAGCGAAAATCAGCTATTGAAACAAGAAATTAAATTACTCAAGGAAACGCTGCACGGCATGGAATTGTCAAAATCGAGAATTAGCATCGCTATCGATAATATGAATAATCAACCAACCATCACTGACAATGACTCTGTCGTACTAATTGATATAGAAGAATCTGAAGTTAACGTAAACACTAATATGAATAATTTACCATCTGCGACAGACAATGAGAAACGATATAATACCCGAGGGCCAGTTGTTAATGACTCTCTTACGAAATACAGAAATCCCAATAAACCAGTCGTCCAAGACTCCCTGACCTCATTCGACCATCTCCTGAAAGAAAAGGCCGCCTTAAACGCCAATATGCATCGTCATAAGAGGAATCAAATGCAAAATTCTCCAACTAACACAACGCATTTCTCGAAACCTAATTACCGGCGCAATCAGGCCGCCTTAAACGCCAACATGGATCGTCATAAGAGGAATCCAATGCATAATTCCTCAACTAACAGAACGCATTTCTCGAAACCTAATTACCGGCGCAATCAGTTTTCCGAGCCTAAACATCAATATCGTCAAGCAAATTTTCCCTCGAAGATTTTTTCGAAGCGGTCGCTATCGAAGGATTCCGAAACCAAGAACAACAGCAGACAATACAGATACAAGAGCAAGTCAAATCAACCCGGCATACAAAGTGAATCCTTTCCAATCAAAGTCAGAGTTACAGCTTGGAGAAACGGAGTCCTGGGAAGCTTACCTACAGCTGGTCAATCGCACCTTGGACCAGTTTGGAACCCTCGTTTAGGCGCAATCCAACGGACAAGTGATAATTATACATCTCAGAGAAGTGTAAATTTTAATAATTTAATTAACATTAAGACTAATACAAACCCCACCATTGGAAAGTCCTCAGTCCCGTCCTTCCTCTTGTCAAATGTATGCCATATAACAAATAAGGTAGACGAATTAGCTGCTGTTGTATCGATCTATGACCCATCCGTGGTAATGATAACTGAATCTTGGCTAAGTGATGATATCGGTGATTCCTCGGTTAAGATCGGTAATAAATACAACATATTTCGTCGCGATAGAAAGTCTCCTGGCGGTGGAGTGATCGCCTACGTGAATAATTGTTTACCAGCCGAGCGTATGACTCACCTCGAAGAAGAAAACAAAGAAGTGATATGGTTGTTGTTAAAACCCCCCAGAACCCCTAGACCTTACAGTACAATCGTTGCCGCTGTTGTGTACTACCCTCCTGGTCAATCCGCCGAACAAGCAATCGATATGAATGAATACTTAACTACTTGTATAGATAGTCTCTTGCGCGAACGTCCTTCATCTGGAATTGTTATAGCTGGGGACTTCAATCAACTAAAATTAAGAGAACTATGTAACATATTTAATTTAAAAAGATCTGTAACTAAACCGACTAGAGGACACAACATTCTTGATCAAATCCTTACAAATATGCTCCCTCTCTTTGACACTGTTAGCCATCTCCCCCCAATCGGACGCTCCGACCACCAATGTCTTCTAATCAAGCCCATTAAAAGACAGAAAACTCCGGTTACGTCAAAAAAAATTAGATTGATGAAACGAGCAAATTTAAATGACCTCTCCCTGAATATGGCTTCTGAAGATTGGACTGCTGTATATTCAGCACTGGATGTGGATGAGAAAGTATCAGCTTATAACTCCATTATAATCAAGATGCTTGACGAGTTCTTACCAGAAAAAAACCATCAGAATACATCACTCTGATAAACCGTGGATCACTGGTAATATTAAAATGCAAATCAAAGCTCGTCAGAAAGCCTTTTCTCGTGGTGATCAGCCAAGATACAAACAACTCTGCGAGAAAGTGGCAAATCTTATAGCTAAAGCTAAAGCCACCTACTATCGGTCCAAGGCCTCAGAATTTCGTACCTCGAATCAATCGAAGTGGTATAACTGTATCTACTCTTTAGTAAATGCCGAAAACACAACCCACACCCAATTTCCACACAGGCCCGAAAACCTAGACTTATCCGACTTAGCTGAAAAACTTCAGAAAGCCTTCACTAAACCATGGTCGGACCGGTACACGAATGTCGCCTTTGAAATACCTGAAGTGAACCATCCACATAAGAATAACAAACCACCTCTTCCTTCTATTGGCCAAGTTAAAGCGGTCTTAAAACATCTTAATCCAAGAAAAGCAACTGGCATTGATAAGGTTCCTGCATGGATGCTCAAACAATACCACGAAGACCTAGCTCCTGTGGTTTATGACATTGTGTGCTGTAGTATAAGTCAATGTTGTTATCCATCACTCTACAAACATGCCCTAATTTCCCCTGTTCCTAAAGTGCAACCACCGAGAGACATTAACAATGATTTCCGCCAGATATCAGTCTTACCCCATCTTGCCAAGATCCTGGAAAAGATCCAGCTCCAGTTAAATATTGAAGATCTGAAAATTAAGAATAACCAGCACGCGTTTACTCAACATCGAAGCACAGTCTCTGCGTTAATATCAACTACCCAAACCTGGTTTAATGCCACTGATTGTTCAAAAACAGGCAAAATGGGGGTTCATGCGGCCTTCATTGACTTTCGTAAGGCCTTCGACCTTGTGGATCACAATATTCTTTTGAACAAATTAGCAGCTATGAACATAAATAAACCCTTCTGGTTATGGATTAAAAGTTTCCTTTCCGGAAGAGTTCAACAAGTAAATCTCAATGGTACCTTATCATCCATTGCAACATGCCCGGCCGGAGTCCCGCAAGGCTCTGTAATATCTCCCATTCTTTTTAATACCTACATTGATGATTTGGAGGACGCCTTACCAGAACAACTAAAAGTCAGTACGAATAAGTATGCAGATGACTGCACACAACACCAAATAGTGAGCGTAGATTCTAATAGTAATTTACAACACTCTATCAATGAAGTAAATAACTGGGCGGTGTTAAATAAAATGGCAATTAATGCTAAAAAAACTAAGGACATGTGGATCTCTTTCACGGACGCTATACCTGAACCACCACGTCTTCGTATTGGAAATGAGTTAATAGAAAGGGTCAACGCTTTTAAATTACTTGGCGTGTCGTTCCAAAATAATCTAAAGTGGAACGCACATGTTGAAGAGATTACACGTAAAGCAAATAAACGCCTTTACCATCTTAGAGAATGCAGGAAATCGCAGTTACCAGCTGAAGTCGGTATTATTACCTATCAATCCGAAATAAGACCAATTCTCGAGTATGCATCACCTGTCTGGGCGGGACTGCCTAATTACCTGCGAGATGAAATAGAGCGGGTTCAATCCAGGAGCTTAAGAATCCTTGGCCTGGAAAAAGATTACCTACCACCGCTGAACGAAAGAAGGGAAGAGGCAACTAGTCGAGAAGTTGATAGGTTTATGAACGATCCAAACCATCCCTGTCGCAGTGTTTTGCCAGAATTAATTAACAATCGGTACTATTTAAGGAACATTGACCGGAATCGCAATATATCATTCTTCTCAGGAACTGAAAGGCATAAACATTCTTTTTCAGGAAGAGCTTGTAAATATGTATAAATAATTTTAACTTATTGGAAGAACTTATTAGTTTAAAGAACTTATTAGTTTTAACTTCTTAGTTAGTTTTCTAAGTTACCTTACAACAATTTGTAATATAAAGACATACCCACAGCATATATACTTTCTTAAACAAGTAATTGTAAGTCCATTGTACTTTTTTATCTTAAGATGGATGAATAAAGCTATTATTATTATTATTATTATTATTATAGAATAGCAAAATTTGAAGCGCGAGCGTTGGCCACTTACAGCGTAGAATTTATAGCTCAATAATACAATATGTTTGTATCATGCAGACATATACTATATGCAATCGACATAGTTATTCTCGACGTTTGTGATAGGGACTATAACACTTCCAAAGCTAATAAACCTATAACCTATAACTTAACACATTTTATCATCAAACAATATATCTATAGACTTATTACTGGTGTACGAAACGGAAACATTCACACTTGTTATACTATGGATAACAGCAAGAAACAGCGTGTATTTTATTTTATTACTGGAGACTTGCGTTAAATTTCCTGTATTTATCTAGCGCATAAAAGGAAAAAGTACGAAAAAAATATTTAAAATAAAAATAATATTTTCGTGAAAACTGCGTTTTTAGCACATTTTATGACCCACGACTTTACCCACGACTTTACCCACGACTTTACTCACGACACACGACTTTTAACCCACGACACACGACACACGACATATAGGGACACTCCTCTTGAATGCGTAATAAAATAAAACGTAATTATCACTGTTTTGTGGTTTGGTTCAGGGTAGACATTCCCTATCAGTATCACTAAATATATAATTTTTAAGGGGCTGTTCATATGATCCCGCTTACCGAGACGTCTTGCTTACCGAAACGAATATTTCCGTGCGTTCATATGGATTATTTCGTCCCACTCGCCGAGATGAAATTACAATGCAGTTCTATAATTAGCATATATGCAGAACGTCTACATTTCAGTCAAGCAACACAAATATATGGCGATTTTAGTGTTTTTCTTCGTTTATTTACAAGAAAAAGTATTGCGTGGGGTGTATATTTAATACTTGTTTACATGTTACGAAAGTATATCTAAATACTATAAAAATAGTTCAGTTTGCACCCCAGGTAATTATAGATACTAGTTACGTCAAATGGAGAGATAATGAGCATTTTTGCTGTAAAACGCAGATAAAGTATATATCATTTCGGACTTGTTTAAAAGTGTCAATTATCTGTCCATTAGGCGAGATAAATAATTCGTCAATTTGTCAAAGTTGGACGATAACCTTGCATGGTGGGCTGTTGTGTTTACATAATTCAAAGTCCAAGGCTGGTTCTTCTCTGACATGAAAATGTGCATGCTTAGGGCATTTCTGTCAATCATTCTTCGGTATATTTCGCGCGGTCGAGTAATGATAACATTACGTCATCAAAATCTTGGTTCAATAAAATTGTAAGTGAATTTAGGTTAGTAGGTAAAGTAAGGTTCACATAGGTATAGTTTGAAGTTTTTACTATGATATTTTGATAAGTATTTTAAGTTGTGAACATATTTTAATATTGATCGATTGAACAGCGAATCGACTCGACAAGTGCGATAACGCCTTAAATAAACAGAATTCGAGGGCTGGAACGAGCTACCAACGCCAACCCACACTTTATAACTCGGCGTTGATTGGCTGGATACAAATCACACCACTTGCTACATCACGTGTACAAAGAACCCTCAACCGTTAGTATAAAAGTGCGTGCACAACCGAAATTCGTCAGTGGATTCTCAGTGAAGTGAACTTTAGGAAACTACTACAAGAAGACCAACATTATATTCAGAACTGAGAATTATTAGAGGTTGATTGTAACGATTCACTACTTAAATTAAATAAAGCCTCGTAACAGTGGTATGAGGATGCGGGCTTAATTAAAAAGATCTCGGTAAAGCTTACGAGGTCCTCGCGCAGACGTATTTCCCGTGTATAAACAATAAAAACTCTTGACGATATAGTTCCACGCGTCATAAAATGAGTCATTTGCAAGATGAATTGGCGATGTTTTTTGGCGTTGTTGTTCTTCATCAAACTTGTGGCCGCAGTTTCTGGCACAATTGTTCAGGCAGATGATCACTTTGCAATTCAAGTTAACCTTCCAGCCGAGTGCTACAATCCAAGTGGTAATATCATGTCTCTCCTCACGGAGGATACCGTTTGGAAACCCCCGTGGTTGAAAGTACGAACATGTCGCAGATATTGTTAACTGTGACCTCTCGATAGAGACGGACATGAATACTGAGTCAGACTGGAAATTGGACACCCTTAAGTTTTGTATATATATATATATTTCTATTATTTACATTATGATATTACATGTTTTTCGACTAAAACTGCATGCGATTTGTGTATTTTTTGTTTATTATTAGCCATGCAGACTCGTGAGAATATATATATGTCAACCAAAATATCTCATAGGTACACTCAACACGTATACATGTTGCCCTAGGTTAGCGCATGCATGAAATTAGTTGGGTCCGATTTACAAAAAGTATTAACTAATTATTTTTATGTGTTTCAACTTTGTTCGTATATTACTATTTATTTTTCTCTCTCCCCGGGATAGTCAAAGGTCTCCCATTCTATTTGTACGGATTAGGATTAACACGTTCTACGATAGGGTTGCATATTCTATTTAGCCTAATTTTTAGACAAATGCCTACATATCAGCTCATATCGTCAAAAACCGGGCATAATTTGTTTCCGTCTTGCAGAATCAAGCTAATTTATTAAAAATAGTCCAGAAAAATATCAATTCTGGAACTATTGCAGGGGAATGATCAAATCTGTCCAAATGGGATAGATCCAATGCAATTACAAAACATTTATGAAGGAGTAATTGGAGAAGTGGTTTTGAATGCGTTCAACAGCACTCGTTTTTGAATATATCGAAAACCGCCTAACATAACATAAAAAACAACTAAACAGTAAATACACACTTTGACTTGACAACAGATTAAAAAACCTTTATTTACCCACTTTATTAAGATACATTATATACAATAAAGGCAATAATATACAAGGAATCTATGGTACGAATATGCTATAATTTACAATAGTTTTGGTTAAGATAGCATCAGCTAAGGGAAATGGAAATCAATTTACCGATTTTAGCGCTAATGAAAATGGTTTTGGATGCATCCAAAACCAATCCCTAGACAAATGCAAACAAATTAGGCAATTCATAGCTCATGAGAATGGTTTTGGATGCGTCCAAAACCAAACCTATAGGAAAATGCAAATCAATTTACCGATTTTAGCGCCAAGGAAAATGGTTTTGGATACATCCAAAACCAATCCCTAGACAAATGCAAACAAATTAGGCAATTTATAGCTCATGAGAATGGTTTTGGACGCGTCCAATACCAACCCTGTAGGAAAATGCAAATCAATTTGCCGATATGTCCAAAACTATCCTAGAGAAATGCAAACCAATTCGCTGATTTTAGCAAAAAATCTCCAGACAAATGAAAACAAATCAGCCGATTTTGGTGCGTTTGGAAATGGTTTTAGATGCATCCAAAATCAATCTCTAAACAAGTGCAAACAAATTGACCAATTTATAGCTCATGAGAATGGTTTTGGACGCGTCCAAAACCAACCCTGCGGAAAATGCAAATCAATTCACCAATTTACCGATTTTAGCGCTAGTGAAAATGGTTTTGGATGCATCTAAAACCAATCTCTAGACAAATTAGCCAATTTATAGCTCATGAGAATGGTTTCGGACGCGTCCAAAACCAACCCTGCGAGAAAATGCAAATCAATTGACCAATATGTCCAAAACTATCCTGGAGAAATGCAAACCAATTCGCTGATTTTAGCAAAAAATCCCCAGACAAATGAAAACAAATCAGCCGATTTTAGTGCTTTTGAAAATGGTTTTAGATGCGTCCAAAACCAATCCCTAGACAAATTTGCCAATGTATAGCTCATCAGAATGGTTTTGGATGCGTCCAAAACCAACCCTGCAGGAAAATGCAAATCAATTCACCAATTTTAGCGCTAATGAAAATGGTTTTGGATGCATCTAAACCAATCTCTAGACAAATGCAAACAAATTAGCCAATTTATAGCTCATGAGAATGGTTTCGGACGCGTCCAAAACCAACCCTGCGAGAAAATGCAAATCAATTGACCAATATGTCCAAAACTATCCTGGAGAAATGCAAACCAATTCGCTGATTTTAGCAAAAAATCCCCAGACAAATGAAAACAAATCAGCCGATTTTAGTGCTTTTGAAAATGGTTTTAGATGCGTCCAAAACCAATCCCTAGACAAATTTGCCAATGTATAGCTCATCAGAATGGGTTTGGATGCGTCAAAAACCAACCCTGCAGGAACATGCAATTCAATTCACCAATTTTAGCGCTAATGAAAATGGTTTTGGATGCATCCAAAACCAATGCTTAGACAAATGCAAACAAATTAGCTAATTTATAGCTCATGAGAATGGTTTCGGATGCGTCCAAAACCAACCCTGCGAGAAAATGCAAATCAATTGACCAATATGTCCAAAACTATCCTGGAGAAATGCAAACCAATTCGCTGATTTTAGCAAAAAATCCCCAGACAAATGAAAACAAATCAGCCGATTTTAGTGCTTTGGAAATGGTTTTAGATGCGTCCAAAACCAATCCCTAGACAAATTTGCCAATGTATAGCTCATCAGAATGGTTTTGGATGCGTCAAAAACCAACCCTGCAGGAAAATGCAAATCAATTCACCAATTTTAGCGCTAATGAAAATGGTTTTGGATGTATCTAAAACCAATCTCTAGACAAATGTAAACAAATTAGCCAATTTATAGCTCATGAGAATGGTTTCGGACGCGTCCAAAACCAACCCTTCGAGAAATGCAACTCAATTGACCAATATGTCCAAAGCTATCCTGGAGAAATGCCAACCAATTCGCTGATTTTAGCAAAAAATCTCCAGACAAATGAAAACAAATCAGCCGATTTTAGTGCGTTTGGAAATGGTTTTAGATGCATTCAAAACCAATCTCTAAACAAGTGCAAACAAATTGGCCAATTTATAGCTCATGAGAATGGTTTTGGACGCGTCCAAAACCAACCCTGCAGGAAAATGCAAATCAATTTACCGATTTTAGCGCTAGTGAAAATGGTTTTGGATGCATCTAAAACCAATCTCTAGACAAATGCAAACAAATTAGCCAATTTATAGCTCATGAGAATGGTTTCGGACGCGTCCAAAACCAACCCTGCAAGAAAATGCAACTCAATTGACCAATATGTCCAAAGCTATCCTTGAGAAATGCTAACCAATTCGCTGATTTTAGCAAAAATCCCCAGACAAATGAAAACAAATCAGCCGATTTTAGTGCTTTTGAAAATGGTTTTAGATACGTCCAAAACCAATCCCTAGACAAATTTGCCAATGTATAGCTCATCAGAATGGTTTTGGATGCGTCAAAAACCAACCCTGCAGGAAAATGCAAATCAATTCACCAATTTTAGCGCTAATGAAAATGGTTTTGGATGATCTAAAACCAATCTCTAGACAAATGCAAACAAATTAGCCAATTTATAGCTCATGAGAATGGTTTCGGATGCGTCCAAAACCAACCCTGCGAGAAAATGCAAATCAATTGACCAATATGTCCAAAACTATCCTGATGAAATGCAAACCAATTCGCTGATTTTAGCAAAAAATCCCCCAGACACGCATGAATTTTTCTTGTTGTTTCATCTAAAATATATAGTTTTCTACTGTCAGAAGCGAGTAATATCATGTTACTAGGGCATAAAGGTCGAGACACATGCATTGGGATTTAATTCAATTATGTAAATATCACGTTCAAGTGTTGCTGTATATAGGTATTTTTTATAAGATGACGTCATTTGTTCTGTAGTTTATGAGCCTCAAACTTGCTTTTGAAACTTATAATTTAACCCGAATTTTTTTATATGACGGTTAACCAAGTATAATCTTTATCGTGGTTTGATAAAAGAACGGTAAACAGGCCATTGGAACGGTAAACGGCGACTCCAATTTAAAACAATGACTAGACCTATCATTTACTATAAAATCTTGCTGCTATCCCCGTTTACCGTTGATATCACATCAAATCTTTTCGTTAATCGTTTGAAATGTTCTTATATATTATTATAAAGGGTTTAGCTCCAGAAGTCATGGCGATATACTCGCATTTCTTTACTATGGTCAATTTGAACATTGTACAGGCGACTTTTTGTTCCTCGTGGGGGGTCGCCATACTATAATAACCTGTGAAAAGTGCGGATTGCCTATATGAAAATAGCTGTGTAGACAACGTTTAGTATGTCCATGATTCCATTTCTTTTTAAACTCTGTAGCTATGTTCTATAGCAGTAGCTAATTGGTTCAAATGGACCAGGGAACGTTCGCACGTTAGAGTGAATAGCCGTTTTCTGAGCTAACCATGTTATTAAGTTTGACCAATTCATCTACTTTTAGTGCTGGATATGTTTTTACATTCACTATACGAAGCTTTCAATGATGATATGGAATAAGGTAGAAATCAAATTTACCAAAAGTCCAATAAATAATTTACTTTCATCCAGACGTGTATTATGTCCTCCTAATTAATTTCCCTTTACTTACAATATAAATATAGATTTTGCATCGCCTGGAATGATTGCTAATATGGATAAAAATTTCGGTTACCTACAGTACTTGTAGTGTAACATATATTTAATAATTTTTCCTCCATCGCAACACTAATCTATCTGCCTTTTTAACCATAACTCTCAAACAATTGGTATGCTTGTAAAATTCCCACATTCAGACAGTAGCTAATGAAAATAATTTGCTTTCCTTTTTATTATGAACTTCTACAAAAGTTAATTTAACTAAGAAACTTTCGTATACAATGTATAGGAAAGACTTGAACAACAAGAACAAAATCTATATTAATACAAAGTCATGCATACATAAACAACTGAAACAAATTTGCCCTATACTTTAAAATTTATCATACTAAATCAATTCTTAGTTAATGTTTACCTTTAAAAATTGAAGAAAAGTTTTACAATTTGTTATGTGAAACGATTTTCCAAGCTTTCTTACATATATTTTTTAAATTTTCCCGTTCTTCACTCCTGGCAAACAGCCATATTTTGAGATCAGTGAGATGATCACCCATACACCCATGAATTGCGCCCGCGATATTTGATGAACTTTAGACTTCGCTATTGCGATCCTTTTCCCCAGTGTAAATAGCCGGGGGGAATTAGTACCCTCGCACGGGATTATTTTCATAAGCAACTGTAGGCTATGATTTAAATTTATTTCACTTTAAAATCCGAGTAATAAGTTGGACAGGCCACGGCAAAATGAACGCAAAATTTTTACTTCGTATTGCATTTTACTTTAAATTAAAGCCCATAGCACAACCTACTTCATATATTTTGGAATTTGATAGTTCATTCTGTAGTTGCTAAACTGTCGAATGTTTTTTTCCCAATTTTTGTACGAAAATTAAAATACAATAATCGTGTTACCATGGCTGACATGAAGCGAGGACGAGAGTGTGCATTCAATATACCTTAAAATGAGCTTTTCTTATTTGGTGTTCCAGGATATGCCAGAAATGCAGCCATTGGGCATCAAAATTAACGTTTTCTGAGGGAGGACCCCTTCACTCTTCACTCCTTTCTCTACAAATCACTTACGTGTGCGGCGACGAAACAGGGGATAAAATTGAGGAGAACAAATCCCCCCGAAAGAGATTTAAGTGGGAGAAGCAGTTTTCGTTGGTGGTTGGGTTAGACAAATCTTCGCCAAAACTTAAGAAACTGTATAGATTTCAATATTTTCTGGGGAGCATACAGTACTTACCGAACACACTGGCCTGTTCTGGCCTGTCCCCATCATTACTATGCTACCTACTGATAATTTACAACTTTAAGTTAACATTAAATTGAAATCTGGTAAAAAAAAGCTTTTGACACATCCCGTCAAACAGCTGATGCCACATAGCATCTTTGTACGTGCAATTATACATTGTGTCTTAAAGAACCTTTGCTGTTCTCATCAAATGCTACAACAATTAAAAATACAAATAATTAGAAGCCACCATGCATGAGCTGATTTATGCAAATGTCAATTAATTAAAAGAGTTTACATTGGTTGCCTGACGAATCTCCCTAGACTAACCTGAAGTTCAGGCCCTAATTTGAAATAGAAAAAAAAAACCTACACAAAACCTATCTAAACCGTGGGATTGACACTGTGACTGTTATGTCAATAGATTTCATTGCACGAAAAATATCAGGGGGAAAATATAAAGATATTCATTAATTTCATTTCATGTTATATTCTCATGAACATGTCCGCAGAGTGTGCATTTTAAACTTAAAAATCCAAGGTACTTTTAAGAGTTCAGTTTCTCCATTTAATTTAACCAGAGCAAACAAAGATTTAGTCTGTTCTGTGCAACAGTGGAAGGACTGAATTCAACTTCTACTTTATTTAACTAACACGGTACTATTTCACAGTATATTAAAATATATGCAAATAATTTTGTTCTCTGCGATCTACTTTCCGCAATAGGAATTAAAGTGCGTCAAGAAAATACGCTAAAATCGTTTGTTTCATCATTGAACGAGGGATCTAAACAAACGGCTTGACTGCCAAACTTTCTCAAGCCAAGGTCTCAACTTGCTGGACGCGGATATACAATTTCTAACGGGATAACAACAGCAATAACGAAATTCTTTATCGTACCATGACGAAGGCGATATGGCTCAGAAAACAACGCTGGTAAGACCTGATAAATAAGACTTTCACCGAAGCCAGAGTTGGCAGAACGGCAAAGACATCTTGGGCCTTGGCTGTCAACAACAAGCTTTCGAATGCACGACTTTTGCTGTTCTTTAAGCGTCGTGTGTCCAAACTTCGTCAAAGATTTTGATAAAGCCCTTTCAAAATACTGTGTGTTTGATTTATTTTCTGCCATAAAGCATATTAAACAAAAGAAATTCGAAGAAATTCGACAATACTATTACGATAATCACAATGCAAT